TACAGTCCCTCCACGGCCACGCCGGTGGGACACGGAGCCCTGCACCTCTGGGCCACGCTATGCGCCTCGTGGGCCGCCTCTGCAAGGCAGGCAGGGCAGGGCGACGCCACGGAGCCGCGGTGGGGCACAGCTCGCAGTGAAGGTGGGCTCAGTGGGAACCGCCCCACACAAAGGGGGAGCGGAGACCCCCCAGGAGCACCGGCCGTGGCATCGCCCCACGCCTTGGGAAGAAGGGGGCGCTCTCTACGGTCGGCACGGGGTGGCACTGAGCGCGAGGGCAGCGTGCTGGGGCCAGGGCTTTCCGGGCCAGGACAAAGCCGCGTGTTTTCAAGCCAGTTCGAGTTTTGGCCTTTGCAGCTTTTCAGTTTCCCCTCCCCCAGAACAAAGCCCGAACCTGCTGGGGCCTGGGAGCGGGCAGCGAAGCCGAGGGCAGGGCTTTGTACGCGGCCAAGCGAAGATCCATTCCCCCGGCACTCCAGCGGGCGGGCCAGGCGTCCCACGCCACGGCACGAAGGGCTTCTCCTCGAGGGGTTAACGAGCTCATGTCTGTTTTGTAGAATCCGGCTGACGCCCCTGGCCAAACCGCCCCCTCTGCTGTTCTAGTGCGCATTGGCCAGCGCCTCTCCGCGTTTGTACAGTGCTTGGCCACAGCGCTGCAGGCGCGTCTGCGTGGAGCCCGGCGTGAAGCCCTTGCTTAGCGCTTCGGCGAGGAAGCTGAAGGGCTGGTTCGGACCCAGGCGGGCAGGCTGGACGGTGGGCGGGTAGCGCTAAATCGCAGGGGGCTGCTTTGCGCTTCTAGCCCAGGGTTAGTGGCCCCGTCCCTGTGGAGAAGCCCCCCGAGGTACCTGGTCAAAGAGGCTCATGCCCAGCACTGGCAGGGAGGTGTACACCAGGTTGTAGAGCGTGATGAACCACTGGTCATAGACTGTCTGCAGAGAGAAGCGCGGAGAGGCTGGTTAGCAAAGGGCCCCGCTGTCCGCAGCAGCAAACGGAGCCGCTCCCTGCCCGGCAGCCAGCCAGTCACAGGGACCCCCCCACCACCTCGTGTCCCACGTGGGAGAACCCCCCCCCCCCCCCCGCCGCGCTGGCAACCTGCCCCCTCACCAGGCCCCTCGGCACGCTCCCCAGCCTGGGTTCTCCCTTCCCGCGGCGGGTGTGAGTGATGGCTGGCTGCCTGGGGCACTGAGCAACCCAATTCCTTGGCTGGGGCCGTGTCCAAACAGCACCTCGCCAGGCGGCGGAAAAGCCAGCGGCCCCCACTGGCCCCAGCCCCGCGCAGGTCTGGACCAGGGCACCAAGCCAGCAGCAAGCCAGCCAGCCCCTCCAAGGTACACACGGGCGCAGAGAGAATCAGGGAGAGCGACACGGACACACGCTAGCTGCAGCCCGCGAGTATCTGGGCGCGCTCCATTTCCGACGAGGGCGATTACTTATTAGGTTTAGTGCGGGTCGTGCCAGGATCGGGTCCCGCCTGTGCTGGTGGTACCCACCCCACGAGGCTGCTTCCCTGAGCAGCTTGGCTAAGGGCCATTGATGGGCCTGCGAGAAGTCACCCACTTCTTATTTAACCCGGCTGTTGGTTTGGCCATCACATCTCCAGGCAAGGAGTTCCCCCGGTTAACGGTGCGCTGTGCGAAGAAGAACTGCCGTTGCTTTGTTCTAAGCCTGCTGCCTCACCATTCCACTGGGTGACCCCCTGGCTCTGGTGCTCCGGGCGGGAGTTACCACCCTTCCTGTGTGCCCTTCCTCCGCCCCGTCCTGATTTTATAACCCCCGCCGTGCGTCTCTCTCTCTAGCTGGGAAGGGCCAGTCTTTTACGTCTCCCCCAGACACGAGCTGTCCCCAGCCCCTGAGCCCTTTGCTGGATCTTTTCCAATTCTAAGGTTTGTTGAGATAGGCTCTCCAGAACGGCACGGGGCAGGAGGCCCCTGGGTTTCTACAGCAGCTCTGCGATGTTCTCTCTCCTAGGAGTTTTGCTTTTCCTGGAACTCTGCGCGCTCATTCGCCCACCCCCGCCCAGGTGTTCTCGGAGAACGAGCCGTCGCGCCCGAGAGCCCCCTTTTTGGAGCGGCGACAGCCAAATCGGATTTCCTCTGCCGTTTGGCCTCCTTTCTGCTCCTCGTGGGCCGCGGGGTGGACTGACAGCCGCTAGGTGGCAGGAATGGTCCGTCGCAGGCCCTACAGAAGGGGAGGCGGGTGCAGGACGCGGCGCCCGACCCCTGGCAGACGCATCTGGGAGACACGCTAACCCACACCCACTGTCTGCTGCTCACTAGCGCACACAAGCACCGTGCATTTGCCCGGCCCAGCATTTCACCCTTTGTGCTGACGCACCCGCCCGCTCCCCTGGAGCCAGCACGAAGCGCGCGGAGGCAGGGGCACGGCCCGAGGCTTTTCGCTGGACACACCTGCCCTGGGGAAGCAGCTCCCGGGTGCAGCTGGGACTTCGGCTGCTGCGAGGGGACAGTGCTCACCCAAAGGAAGGCCCCAGCTCAGGCCCCAGCCCTGACAGCCCTGCCCGGCCCTGCCCGGCCCACAGCGGGATCCCCCAGCTGGGGGATCCCTACCCACTTCTGGCAGGTTTCCCCACGGGGTCCCCCGGATGGAACGGTCTCCCCATCATCACTTCTGGACTACACAACCCTTACAGCAATGTCAGCTCCCAAGCCCGGGGAGCCAGTCCCCTCCCTGACCCCCCACCCCTCCCTGCTCCGGGGGCTGGCTGCAGGGGCAAAGGGCAGGAGGGAAAGGGTGGGTGCCGTGCCCGCCCACCCCGAGCCCCGCAGGGAGGGATACAGCCTGACCTGGGCCGTGAAGCCGCTGTAGAAGGCGAACCAGATCTGCACCATCATGCCGGCGAAGGTCTTGTAGAAGAAGTAGCGGAGGAACTTGCACATGCGGATGTAGGACCAGCGCCCGTGGACCAGGAGCAAGCGCTGCAGGTAACGGAACTGGGCGAAGGAGAAGTCGCTGGACAGCACGGCCTGCATCCCCTCCTGCCCGCTGATGCCGATCCCGATGTGGGCAGCTGCAAGACTGGTCCTGGCCCCCTGCTCCCGGCATCTGGTCCCTGTGTGCACCGGACTGGTCCTGGCCCCCTGCTCCCGGCATCTGGTCCCTGTGTGCACCGGACTGGTCCTGGCCCCCTGCTCCCGGCATCTGGTCCCTGTGTGCACCGGACTGGTCCTGGCCCCCTGCTCCCGGCATCTGGTCCCTGTGTGCACCGGACTGGTCCTGGCCCCCTGCTCCCGGCATCTGGTCCCTGTGTGCACCGGACTGGCCCTGCCCCCGGCGTCTGGTCCCTGTGTGCACCGGACTGGCCCTGCCCCCCTGCTCCCCATCTGGTCCCTGTGTGCACCGGACTGGTCCTGGCCCCCTGCTCCCGGCATCTGGTCCCTGTGTGCACCGGACTGGCCCTGCCCCCCTGCTCCTGGATATCTGGTCCCCGTGGGGCGTGCGTGGGTGGCTTTCCTGCTTCATGCACGTGCCCCACCGGTCACTCTGCAGGCTGCTGTGTAACAGTTTGGTTCGTGGGTACCAAGTGATCTGTGTCCCGAACCTTCGCCCAGACTGTCCGTGTTTCCCAGCAGCACAAAGCAACGGTCTACGGTTACCCCGGCTAGAAAACTTGGGGTACGTGTTTACACGCCCCCCACCCCTCAGGCACATGCGTTGCTCCCCCAGGCTGGGACACAGCAGCCCGCAGCTGGCTGCCATCCCGTAGGCCTTAGTAGCTCAATCACACAGTTACACAGAAGAGTCTTAATTCTAACCTGCGCTAATTAACCAGGGACGCGGGTTTCATGCGACAGCGACCGATAGAGATTTAATTAAGGCACCATTCCGGCCGGCCGGAGGTTGATTGGATTCGGGGGTTCCTATGGGATAACGAGCCCTCGGAGTGCCTTGTGGCAGCGGGGGCGGGGGTTTTCTCATTCTCACGGGAACACGCTCGTCTGCCTTTCCTGACGGGCTGCCTGACGGATCGCCCCCTGCAAGCGCCTTGGCTTAGTCTTTCCTTTCTTAATTAAAAGGCCCCAGTTAATCACTTGGTATAAATTAATGTGGGGAAGATGGACAGGAGGCCCCTCTGGCCAGCGGTACGTGAGCTGGGCCTAGCGGGAGGAGCTGTTCCCGTCGCAGGGCGCCGGGAGAGCTGGCCGGCTGCGTTTTGGGGCACGGCGGGCGTCCCAGGGCTCCCCCGGGGATGCGGAGACTTTCACCCACAACTGCAGAGCAATTCCAGACAGCCAGGTCCTTGCCGGCCCCTCGCAGGCCGGCCGGCAGCTGTTCTGTACGGCAGGAGGCAGGGGCTGTGCTGACACAGCCAGGGCCTGGCCAGAGGGGGTGCAGTCGCAGTAACAAGGGGGTGTAGCGGACAGGCGGAAGGACCAGGGTAACTCTGGCAGACTCACCTGGTGACACAGCCTCACTCTGGGCACGTCTGGAGTCTTTAAAAAAGGGGATCCCCCAAACCCAGCTCAGCCGGGAAGGGATCCCAGAACTCCCCCGCCCAGGGAGTATCACCGCCCCCCGCCAGGAGAGCAGCAGGGCTGGGTTTGTTGGCCAGGTGGCTGTCCGGCGGGTGAAAGCTGCCAGGGTGGCGGCCCTGGAGGCGCCCATCCTTGGTCACACGCAGAGCCGGGCCGAGCGGCACGGGGGCCCTCCGCAGGGCTATTAAACAGGCACGGGCTCGTCGTGAAAGGGGAGCGGGGCCCCGGGCGCGCCACAACCCCTGAAGCGTTCGCTCTCTGCATACGCCTGGGGCGGGGCGCGAGGAAGACAGCGCGCCGGCCGGCCACGGGCAGGACAAGGACTCTGACAAACCCTGGAAGAGGCGGAGCCTTGGGCAGAAGAGGCGGGGCTGGGGCTCACCTCCCCCAACCAGCCCTCGGTGCTGCCCAGAGCGCTCCCCACGATGCTCCGGCGGCGATTTAAAGGGCCTTTTCAGCGACCAGACCCCGGGACGGTTGCCCCCTTGGCCTCCTCGTCGATGGGCCCTCGTCTTTGGCGGACAGGGAGCAAGGTGAGGGGCCTTTTCTGTCCTGCGAGCTCAGTGCACAAGGCAGGGAGGGCACCCGGGGAACTCCCTGGGCTGCGGCTTCTCCCCTGCCTAAGGAAATAAGGTCACGGCGCATTGTGACCTGGGTGTTGTTTAAAGACAAGGAGATGGAGTTGGGAGGAACCCACCGAGGGATCAGCCCCAGGCCGCTGCGAAAGCTGCCACTTCGCTGCACCTGTGGGAAACCTGGCGGGGAACCTGGAACACAGCCAGGTTTCATAGACCCCATACAGCCTGCCTAGGGGGGAGGAGGGTACAGTTGTATCGACCAAGGTCTGCTGGGACTCCGCACAGACGGACGTGCAGAGAGAGACACACATGGAGGTGTGAGAGTGGCTGTCTCACAGCTCCGGCTGCTGGTCGCGGAGAGGTGACCACGCTACAGCGTGATCTGCACGTGGGACAGTCCCATGACAGAGCCGCTGCCGGGCGTCCGGCAGAGCGGGCATTGCCGCGGGGGACACGCCAGGGAGAGCGGGCCCCAGGGCAGTCAGAGCGGGCATTGCCACAGGGGACACGCCAGGGAGAGCGGGCCCCAGGGCAGTCAGAGCGGGCATTGCCACAGGGGACACGCCAGGGAGAGCGGGCCCCAGGGCAGTCAGAGCGGGCATTGCCACAGGGGACACGCCAGGGAGAGCGGGCCCCAGGGCAGTCAGAGCGGGCATTGCCACAGGGGACACGCCAGGGAGAGCGGGCCCCAGGGCAGTCAGAGCGGGCATTGCCACAGGGGACACGCCAGGGAGAGCGGGCCCCAGGGCAGTCAGAGCGGGCATTGCCACAGGGGACACGCCAGGGAGAGCGGGCCCCAGGGCAGTCAGAGCGGGCATTGCCACAGGGGACACGCCAGGGAGAGCGGGCCCCAGGGCAGTCAGAGCGGGCATTGCCACAGGGGACACGCCAGGGAGAGCGGGCCCCAGGGCAGTCAGAGCGGGCATTGCCACAGGGGACACGCCAGGGAGAGCGGGCCCCAGGGCAGTCAGAGCGGGCATTGCCACAGGGGACACGCCAGGGAGAGCGGGCCCCAGGGCAGTCAGAGCGGGCATTGCCACAGGGGACACGCCAGGGAGAGCGGGCCCCAGGGCAGTCAGAGCGGGCATTGCCACAGGGGACACGCCAGGGAGAGCGGGCCCCAGGGCAGTCAGAGCGGGCATTGCCACAGGGGACACGCCAGGGAGAGCGGGCCCCAGGGCAGTCAGAGCGGGCATTGCCACAGGGGACACGCCAGGGAGAGCGGGCCCCAGGGCAGTCAGAGCGGGCATTGCCACAGGGGACACGCCAGGGAGAGCGGGCCCCAGGGCAGTCAGAGCGGGCATTGCCACAGGGGACACGCCAGGGAGAGCGGGCCCCAGGGCAGTCAGAGCGGGCATTGCCACAGGGGACACGCCAGGGAGAGCGGGCCCCAGGGCAGTCAGAGCGGGCATTGCCACAGGGGACACGCCAGGGAGAGCGGGCCCCAGGGCAGTCAGAGCGGGCATTGCCGCGGGGGACCCGCCAGGGAGAGCGGGACCCGGGGCAGTCAGAGCGGGCATTGCCACGGGGGACACGCCAGCGAGCGCGGGCCAGGCCTCCACTTACTTTTGATCATGCTGACGTCGTTTGCCCCATCCCCGATGGCCAGGGTCACGGCCTTCTTGTACTTCTTCACGAGCTCCACCACCTGGGCCTTCTGCAGGGGGGTCACGCGGCAGCAGATCACCACCTTGCACATGCAGGCTGTCCGCACCAGCTCCAGCTCCAGGCGCCCTTCCAGCGCGTAAGCCTGCGGTCGGAGCACACGCCGGGGAGCGAGGTGAGTCCGGACACAGCGCCAGCAGGGCCGAGCATAGAACCACACTCTCCCAGGGCTGGCCCAGGCCTCCGGAGGCACCGAGCCCAACCCCCTGCCCAGAGCAGGGCCAGTGTCCACGGACACGTCTGGGAGCGACGAAGCCACGGAGCTGGGAGATCAGCAGAGCCACAGCGACCTCTGGCTCTACCCCCGCCCCCCAGAGCCCCCTGTGCACTGTTCGCAGGGCCGCTGGCCTGCCTGGCTCCCCCTTTGGGCTGCCCTCCTGAAGGGCGGGTAGAGGGGCTGTTCCCTTAGCAGCACCGGCAGCACTGCAGTTGTGTTACAATTATAAACACGCTGCAGCCTCACTCTACTCAGCTCCCACAGAACCACAGCACGCTAGAACTGGAGGGACCTCCGGGGGCCATCGAGTCCTGTCCCCGGCCCTCACGGCAGGACCCAGCACCATCTAAACCATCCCTGACTGGTGTGTGTCCAACCTGCTCTTCAATATCTCCAGGGATGGAGATTCCACAGCTTCCTTAGGCAACTTATTCCAGTGTTTAACCATCCTGACGGGCAGGAAGTTTGCCCTAATGTCCAACCTGAACCTCCCTTGCTGCAGTTTAAGCCCATTGCTTCTTGTCCTGTCCCCAGAGGCCAAGGAGAACAATTTTTCTCCCTCCTCCCTGTGACACCCTTTTAGATACTTGAACATGGACATCATGTCTCCTCTCAGACATCTTTCCAAACTAAACAAACCCAATTCCTTCAGCCTCCCTCCTAGCTCACGTTCTCTCGAACTTTCATCATCCCTGTTGCTCTTCTCTGGACCCTCTCCAATTTCTCCACATCTTTAAATAAATAAATTAATGAATGGAGATGCCTATCTCCTAGGACTGGAAGGGACCTTGAAAGGTCATTGAATCCAGTCCCCTGCCTACACAGCAGGACCAAGTACCACCCCTGATGAATTTTTGCCCCAAATCCCTAGATAGCCTCTGCAAGGATTGAACTCTCAACCTTGGGCTTAGCAGGCCAATGCTCAAACCAGTGAGCTATCCCTCCCCCCGTAGTACCCAGAACTGGACACAATCCTCCAGCTGAGGCCTGAGCAGAGTAGAATGGAAGAACGACTCCTCATGTCTTGCTCCCAACACTCCTGTTAGTGCAGGAACACTGCTCTGTGGAACATGCCTCCATAAATCCCTTTCCTGCCCCACGTAACAACCCCAGAAACCAGGAATTCATCTGTCTAACTACAGGTGTGATGTAGTGTTGGTACCTTGCTGGTTGCTATGCTGGGCAGTGGGCTGTGAGTGACCTCTGCTGTCTGCAGCACGGCCCAGCAGGGCAGGGGATGAGTCATTATGCAAGGGGGCTTCGAACCTGTCTGACCAGTGATCTCCCAGGGAGTGGAACAATGGGAAGAAGGGGGGTGGAGCCCTGGCTGGGGGCAGGGCTGGGAGTGAGGGAGTTTCTGTCTGGGAGCATGGAAGAGCAGTCTCCCCCATCTCAAGGGGGGCTGAGGCATCCTAGGCCTTCCCTGTAACCAGATTCCATCTGTTCTGTGCTTCATCCTTGGAGAAGCAATAAACTCCCTCTAATCTACTGGCTGGTGGAGTCTGTCCGTGCCACTACGGGGGTGCAGGAGATGGGAAAACCCCAACGCGCCATCACAACAGGCTCCCGCCCCATCCCCCAGATGGGCCGATCGACACTCTGGGGGGTTAACAAAGCCCGGCAGAACTGGTGAGAAGAAAAGACCAAGTGAGTAAATATCCACCCCAGGAAGGGAGCTGGTGCTATTGCCACTCCTGAAATCAGCCCGGAGATTGGGCCTCTTCATCGCTGCCCGGCAGGGAGGGCGCCACGACCTGCCTTTGCACATTCCTGACCCATGTGCTCCTTGCCTCTGTGCAACCCCCCCCCACAGCGCCAGCCAGCAGGCCAGCTGCCCTCTCCACTCAAGGCAGCAAATCAGCAACCCAGATCTCCCTTCCAAAGCCAGCGAGCCTCGTGAGTCACCCCCGCCCCCGCGTCCCTCCCGGCAGCAGCGCGCTCACTGGCAGCCCTGCCCGTGACTCAGTCTGACCGGGTGCTAGCCACAGATACGTGTGTCACTTTCCAGAACCCCTCAGGGAACGAGGTAGCCAGGCAAGGCTGCGCCCTGTGCCCCACGCCCACCCCCCGGCGCGTCTGTGATGCCGTGCACCGTGCCAGGGGCTGCTCCCCACCCGCCGGGGGTTTGCCTCCCGAAGGGTCCCAGGTGCGAACGCAGCCGCTCTGCGACTCTGGGGCAGGTCCAGGCTCCGGCCGACATGGGACGAGCACAGGCCTGGGTTTCCAGGGACCCCAGCACTGCGTCTGCCCCCCACTCCCCGAGGAGTCTGGCGAGCGCAGGCGCGCCAACCCGTCCTTACCAAGCTGTGGCCGTTGACAACGAGGCCATAGACCCCGTTCGCTTGCTCTTCGGGGAGGATCCTGGACTTTGCCGAAGGGTTCTCAAACAGGATGTTAATTTCATCGCTCTCCAGGAAGGAGTCCGGCTTCATTGTCTTCCGTGCGCTCCTGAAAAGGACCAGGCATTGAAAACACAAACTCACGGCGGCTGTGCTCTGAAACCCAGCGACTGCTCAAGCAAATCCCTCCCCCCGGCAGTATCGCTCTCCCGGCAGAGGGCTTGAAAGGCTGGGGTGACACATGGGGCAGGGTGCC